GGGGGGCAAGCAACAGCTGTGGCTCCACCCCTAACCTGGGATTAGGGTCAGGGTTGGGACTACAGCCAGAGCCACAGGAGCAGCCTGGCTTCCTGCTTTATTCTAAGATGAAGGAGTTTTTCCTGTCACGTTTAAATGTGGTGGAGGGGGGTGGAAATCTCATGTTGAAATCAAATAAATACCATAAATCTGAAGGGCTAAACAGTCTGGTAAAATGCAGTTTCTCCAGGGCTTCTTGGCATTTTACACACACTGTTTAGATGCCTGAAAGTTCCCCACTGGCTTAGGTGAAGCATAGCTACTTCTTGACTTTGAGGTGGAAGGAGAATCTTGTGCTATACATTCAGCTAGTCTCAGCTGGCCTTGGCATATGTGACCTGCAGTGGAGGAGGCAGTTAATAAGTAAAAAAAAGCAGTCATAGCTACTAGGTTTCATCTTCTACATCCTGGCACCAATTTGTGAATCTGGATAAGTGATTAGGACAAAACATTTATCATGAAGTTTTCTTTTTTACCTTTCTAGTTCCTGCGTGAAATCAAGTCAGTGAGAGACCAGGCAGGCATCCCTCCTGAAGAGATGGTAAGTAGCCCTGCTGTGTTACAGGTTTAGCAAAAGATTCTGTTCTTGCTAGAGTGTTCTTTATGGAGGATGATTAAACACAGAAGTTCAGAAAATATTTTTCATCTATATATAATATGTAGGATCTCTATTTTAATATAAATCTAAAGAAATAATATACACACTATTTTGTTAGATTTATGTTAAATAGAAATCCTGCAGTCTATATGCTTAGGTGTGGAGGATATGTCCACCTAGGTAACTCCAGAATAAAGTCTGTTATTCTATCCTGATCTTGGGTATTGTTAAAAGGAGGAAGGGAGGTGTCTTAACAGAATTAGCCAGGAACAGAGCAAGAGCCCTAACAGCGAATAATCTGGTTGCTCTGTCCCAGCCCATATTTTTAAATAAGCAATGCTCAGTGCTTTGCAACCCCTGTTGATATGCTTTCTTTCTTTTTTTTTTTTTTTTTTTTTTTTTTTTTTTAAATATGCCTTCCATGCAACTCCATTTTTAAAAAGGTGACATAGTTGCTCTATACTTCTTCTTTCTTGTTAAGTAAATGTAAAATGCCTTTTCCCAAATAAGTACTCACAATTGATCAGTTTTGCAGTTGCAGGGAAGGGCAATATGGGATTGAATTTAGGCTTCAGGCCCTGCGCGTTCAAGTTTTGATGCTGTTTTTCTTTTCTACCTACTTTGTATTCAACTGGATTTATGTGGAATGTGATAGAATGTCTTTGTATTGGTTCAGGAACTACTTTCAGAGGGCGTCTACATGTGCGCTTTACTGTGGAGTTGACTAATTAACTCCACACTAAAGTGTCACCATCTGCATATGCAGTGCTATTAGGCCAGAGCAAACTAATTAACTCTGCCTTGGTACTTGTCAGTCAGTATTATCCTGTCCTATGGTGGAGTTTAATGCACCACAGTGTATGTGTAGACAGTGACCAGGGCTGGCTGGGGCACAAGGGTGTTACAGTGCAGGGACTGGCTGCCAGCTAGCCCTGCACTCTTGTGCCCCAGCCAGTCAGTCCCTCTGCAGCACATTCAGCTGGGGCAGAGCAGCTCCAGGCTGGCAGGCTGACCCCCCACCAGTCCTTCTGCCAGCTGGGGAACTGTGCCACCCTGGCTTTATGTGCTGTAATCCCAGGCACACACTTAAACACTGAACCCAGGAGCAAGAAACTCTGGTGCAAGCTGCACTGGAGCTTATTTAGCCATGCTAATCGCACATGCCATTGTGCCCTCAATCTCCTACGTTGATCCCATGTTTGGCAGATTTTAACTAAAAAACCCAACAAAAAAACCCAAACTTTCTCCCACCGTCTTCTCTCTCCTTGCCTAGGTTTTGTTTTGTTTCCATAGGGTGCATGTGTTAAATAAATGGCTTGCTAGATTATGTACCATTTCTGTTTGGTCATTTTATAATTTAAAAGAATTGGAAAATCATCCTGTAGAACCAACACCAGCCAAGTATAGGTTAGTATTTTTAATAATTCTAAAAATAACAGAACAGAAATGATTATACTAAGTTTTATGAAATGAAGGTGACCAATATAGGCAGGTATGGTTCTGTGGGTAATTCATGTATTAAAAATATTGCTTCTCACCTGCAGAGAGTGATGTTCAGGAAGCATTATCAGGGCCTCTTGAAGATTGTGGTTTATGTAAATTTTACATTACAAAGAACAATCCAGTCATGCACTATTTAATTTCTTAGAAAGTATGAGTTCTGAAACTGAAATCTGTGTTTGTTACTCAGACACTCAAAGATGACAAGCTTCACTTAAATAGATGTTCAAAACATTTATTTAAATAGGTGACCATTTTTATGTAAAACTTGGTGTAAACAGTGTACTCCATTTTAGATTATCTAAAGAACCAAAGGTCTTATAAGATATTATTGGTTGTTTTGTGGCCACATAATTTTATAGTGCTTTTGCACTTAATGTCCATGTTTTTCCCTAGTAATCAACTAGAATGTTTAAAATATAATACAAAGCTCTTTGTTCTGAATAGAGCATAAGATCTATCCCCGATTAACATTGGTTTCCATAGAAATGCAGAAAGTTGTTGGCTTATGATTGCTGAATGCATTCCTGAGGGTATTGTTTAATAGTAATGTACTTACTTGTGCTTCTAGATTATAAATTCTTTGAGGCGAAAGTCCTTTAGTTTAGCATAATAGTGCGTTACAAATAGAGTAAGTTGGAGTTACAGGGCTATGAAAAGACTTGGAAAATGAAACGATGGTAGGTAATGATTGAGATTATATAGCTCCTTCTTTATGATGCTTATTTCTTTAGTCTGCAGATTTCTGCATTCTTTCTGAAAGCCATGGACATGCCCGAGATGCCTATTCGTTTGGAACAATGATTGAAAATCTGCTGACAATCTTGAATGATCAGGGTGAGATTCCTCCACGACCTATAATAAAATGCCTTTATTTTGCTACCACCCATGCCAAGTAATCCTGTGGCTCATTGTGTTCAGGCATGAACAAAAATATCTTTCATTTTGAGGAAGTTTGTTCCAGGAGAAGCATGACAAACTTTGCGATCAAGGACTGTCCGTTGCACTCGCTATGAATTTCAGAAATTAAAAACTTTTCTATCTATATGTTCTTCCTGTTTCATGCTTTGCTTTCATAGACTTGGAGATTTCTAGGGGTTCCAGCTACCTTATGCTGTAATAAGCTTCACTCTGACACCAGAAATTAGCGTGTAGGGTGGGAAGCTGTCTTTATAATATATTTGAGAGACAGTATTGTTCAGTAGCTGGTGTGGAGCTTAGCAGTTAGGGTAACTGCTCTGTTTCAGAATCTTACTTCCCCTTTGTATGGCTGTGAGTAAATTGTATAATATCTCCATTTTGCACAGTGTGGGTGATGAATTTGTTTAGCTGCTTTAAGATGAAAGGAACTACCTAAGTGCAAATTACTGTGAAGGTTGTGAGCCTTTCCTGTGCCTAATATTGTGTGCTTCTTAATTGCAGTAACATAGTGTAATGACGTGTTACTGGAGGCAGGAACAAGTTTTATGTTACAGTTAGGTAGGAGATCTTTGGGTTAATCAAGTTAAAGGACAGATGTACATCTGAACTCTGTTATCTCTTCTCTTCCCTTAAAAAAGGACCTCTGTCTTCTTTCATGTCAGATGCCTCAGACCTTCCTGCCTTAGCTACTGTATGGAAGTTCTCTCCCAGCCCTGTGTATCTGGTGGGTTGGCTTGTGCCCTGAAGAATGAAGTTTGATATCCCTTAATTTTTTCCCTATATCCCATTGCTGTGAATGTCAAATCCTCCTTTAATTCTGTAAAACTTTTCCTCAATAGCACAGCATAGCAGTGCAGTCCATGGAATATGTATGCCCCATAAGTTCTGGAGAAAAAAGGGATCTTTCCAGTTTGGATTTCCTGTGTTTTAACTTGTATTGAAAGATCACTTGTGCTTAACAATAAACTCCTATCTCTTACTTATCTGTTGATCTCAAAGCACTTTACAGAGGATGAATTTCTTCATCCCATTGTTCACACTGGCAAACTGAGGCCAGCAGCTTGGCCAGGTCTCACAGAAAGCCAGTAACCACACTAGGAATGCAACCTAAATCTTCTGCCAATTTGCTGCCTCTTGTAAGAGCATAAGTAGATTATTTTAGTTCTGTCTTACTTGTATATGCTTGCATAGTATATATTTTTTATATGTTTGCTAAATGGACTAGAAACTTATTTGACTTTCACTGTAATGGCATCAGATGGAGACTTCAGTATAATTAAATCTTTTATAGTTCTGAATTAGAAAGCAGTAGGGCAGATGGAGGATGAGAAGAAAGGAAGCTACTCTTGTTTTATCAAGCTGAAGAGAAAGTCTGGCTTTTATAAAACTGTATTATCTCTGCTCCTAAATGTTTTAAGAGCAGGCTGACTCAGGCGAGGGTAGATGAGTTAAAAATGCTGTTTCTAAAACAGCAAGAAGCTTATGATAGCTGTTAGACAATGGTAGGTAAGCTCTGTTACCTTATCAGCATTTGAGAAATAATGATTTTCCACCTAAGGAAGGAGGAATCTCTGAGTCCTGCATGTTCCCCATGTTTGGAGTGGAATCTAATGGAAGATGTGTGGCTTTCAGTTTCAGCAGATATTCTCTCAAGTTTTCAACAAACCTTGCACTGCACACTGCTGAATCCAGATCCAAAGTGCCGTCCACCCCTGTCCAGCTTGCTTTCTCATGAGTTCTTCAGGTGAGGGAATGCATGCATTGCTTACTCATGAGCATCTTAAGTACTTTATTCTGTAATTATGTTTGTACTTCATGCGTCATATATGAAACAAACCTCCAAAAAGAAAGTCGAAGATGTTAGCAACCCAGAAGTAGGCAGTACTAATGGGTAAGGTGGGCATTGATTTCAGTATTAAAAGCATGTCTTAAGGTGAATTAAATGAGCTGACTAATTCATGTGGGAACAGCCAGCTCACAGCTGCTCACACCTCATTAAGTTTTATTACTTTATTCAACCTCCTTAATAGCAGCCTTGAAATTGATGGGACTTTGTCAGTTTAATTTTTGCTAATAGCACAGCATTGAGATAAACTAGAAGGAGCAACTATTCACTCCCCATGTTAGGCTCATTTGGCAATCAGAAAGTTGCCTGTTGTATGGCCTATACTTGCTGTGATCAGACAGATGTGTTGGTAAAGCATCTCAAATGTACAAAGCCTCATCTCGTTCACAGTGGGGTGTTGAAATTGGAGCAGGTTTGTTGAAAAACAGCAACCCTCTCAGTTATAGCCAGTCAAGTCTCCCTCATTTTATGGATGAGGGTAGTGCATGGCCTAGAAAACAAGACTCTTCAAAGTATGTTTGCTTTAAATCTAGCTTTACTACCTGTTTGCACAGATTGCCCTCTGTGTGTTGTGGTCTAAGGATATCAATATTGTCCCAGGAAGGACATGTATTTTTCCCATCATAATGCAGTAACTGGCTCGAGATTGCAAATGTAGCTTTTCCCATTTGATGCTGCAAATTGCTGACCTCAAAGTTGTGGCATCATTGAATTCCAACTGCAAACTAACAAGCAGGCTGAGGAAATTACTTTTTGGTATCAGTCCTATTCTTAATGGACAGATGCTTGCATCACACATGTGCTTTTACTTGTCTCCATCAGCCTCAAGAGAGGCTAAGAATAGAATGAGCAATAGAGATTGAATTCTCCCATCTAGAAATGATTACAGTAGGATTTTGAAACATATTGGTGGGGATAGAAAATAAGAAGCTGAGACTTACTCCAACATTCCTAGTCCAATATCACTCATTTAAGCTCCGCTGTTCTCCTCCATCTGGTGAATAAAAGATGGGAGGTTGCTCAGTTTAAAATTCTTGGTGATGCTTCATATTCTTTATTTTTGTGATTAGGAATGATTTCCTGGAAGTTGTGAACTTTCTGAAAAGTTTAACAGTAAAGACAGAAGAGGAGAAAACTGAATTTTTCAAGTAAGTGAAAGAGCTTCAGCGTTTCTGGGGGCCCTTCATGTGAGAAAATGTTGATCATGTTCCAGCTAAGGTCTCAGCAGGACTTCCAGGACATGTCTGCACGGCACAGTGCAATACTGCAGACATATTCAAGGTAGCTTGAGTAACAAAGCAATATAGCTTTAGTGTAATACTGTTCCCAGGCTTGCTTGTCCTGCTTTCTTTTTCAGAGAAAGGTCAGTTTTAATAGTGATTTGCACATGCATGGTTCTCAGTATAGCTGCCAAGCCCAGGCAGTACCATGCTAACATGGCTATATTGCTTTGTTACCTGAACTAACTTGGTTATCCCTGCACAGTGCTGCTTGTGTCTAGTAGACATTTCCAGTTATCGGTCTTAGGGTAGACGCTTCCTCTGTTTGGATTTCAACCTTTTACACACTTCATCACCTTTGTGCTCTGGTTTAATATCTTGCTCATGCTAAACAAATCCAGTGCTGGCATCAGTCAGTAAGTATTCATTACCACCTTCGCTGTGGAAAAAAAATATAAAACAAATTCCATCATGTAGCATCACACTTGCACTCAGTTTCTCAGCAGCGTTGCAGACCTTACATCTGCATGGACTTCTGCCACTTGAGCTAATAGAATAACTGATAGCAGTGGTGGGGTTGCCATCCTCTTGGGCCAGCCCTAGTGGGAATGAAATGCATACCTTGTCAGTGGGTTTCCTTGATACTTACTGACTGGAGAGGATGCTGTCCTTTCTGAGATGGCCTCAGTCTCTTCCTCCAGGCTGTCTGCAGGTCAGCTTTCAGCTCCTTGGCTATCATGTCTTACATCTACCTAGGGCCTCTAATTATGCTGAAACCTACCATTACACTGTCAGTTTCTAGTCCCAGTTTCACAAATTTCCTTTTCCCAGCCTACTTTTCCCCACCAAGTTGGCTTTTATCCCCTGTGTCTATGCCAGGCGTCATCCTTTGCCATATTCTTTGACCCAGCAAGGAGGATGTATGTGAGCGTTGAGACCCAATGTTAAGACCCACCTCAGTCTGGAGTAGCCATTGCACAGTGTCCAGTTTAACCACCCTGCTCATTCACTGTGTGGGAATGGAAGTGCAGAGTCTGGGTGGTACTGTAGGTCAGTAATTTTTTTGTTTATTTTTTTGTTTGTTTTAATCAAGGTGCACATGATTCGCAGATAAACCCAGAGATTTCAAATAAAAATCCATAGAGTCAAAAACTTTCTTACCTGGTGTGGTCTTTCTGAATTATTTACAACAAAAAAATTGCTCTATTTGTTTTTCTGTAGTCAGGAAACGAACAAAAGCTAAGAGCTGGCATTTTCCAACAGATGCCTTGAGTCTACTGCATTGAGAACTACTGCACTAGGTCCTGTGAGGGAGTGAAGCATGCTGAGCATGGATGGGATCTGAAGAATTTGGCAGTGAAATTCTAAGAAGGCTTTAATAAGCATGTGCCAACTGCACTTTTTTTTCAAAAGCCTGTATCTTTGTTAAATTTGGGCAGATTTCAGAGGGACAGCAGTCTCATAAATAACACAAAGCCCATTTCTGTGCCAACTTTCAAGTTCTATTCCAAACCACAAGGTGCTAGTGTTTGTTAAAAAAAGAATTGACATAGTAAAACAGTGCATTGACTGCTAGCTTAATTGTCAAAAGTGTTTGGGCAAAATTATCCACAAAAAAAATCAGCCTGAGAGACGACTGGCTTGGAAAACTTCCACCTAAGGGGTTAAAGTTTTTGGCAAATTTTATAAGTATAAAAAATGGTTTTGTAATGGGTATTGCAGCTGTAATCATGCTACCAGTAAGTGTACAGAAGGACCTAAGATTGAAAATCACTTTCTAGCTAGCTAAATTAATGCTGCATTATGGTCAGGACATTATACTGGGCCTAAAAAAAGAACGCAAGTCTGTCAGTGTGGTTTTTTTCCTCCTTTCTGTGTTTAAAAACCCTCAGGCCTCTTTAAAGAAGTTCTGAAGAAAGCTCTAACACGCTAGTGTGGGGGTGGGCAATTATTTGGGCCTGGTGACTACATAGGGAGTTTTGACAAGTTGTCACTGGCTGGGTCAGCACTGATGTGAGTACGGAGCTGCAGGCGTGCGATGTGGAGCCCCTGCCGTAGAAGTGGTTGGGCCGGCTGCGCCAGAGTGCGCTCCTCACCCCCAGCGCAGCGCTGGCCGTTTCTATCACAGGGCTTCACACTTGCAGCAGGGAAGCCCTGCACTGGACTCTGTGGGGAAGCTTCCTCCACTCCCAGCAGAGTGCGAGGACTGTGCAGCAGGGAGCAGGGGAAGCAGCAGTCTCCAGTGTGGGGCTTCCCCCGCTGCGAGTACTAGAGCTGCAGGCACCTGGCATGGAGCCCCGGCGATAGGGCAGGCTCCACTCCCTCCCTCCACGCAATGCTGGCCAGAGCCATGTCTGCATCAGGCGCATGCACCCTGACATCCCCACCTGCTTGCTGCTGCCAGGCAGAAGGGGCTTCATGCCATGGGTGGGGAGGAGTGTTTTGCCCACCCCTGGCCTAAACTAAGAATAGGATCAGGACCTGGACTCCATTGTTCTAGGCAGTATACATGCCAATTAAACTGCACTGTAGAGCTTTCAGTATAGCAAACAGGGCAGACAAAGCAAGGAGAAAAAGTTGTTTAAGGGAAACTCATTTTGAAACCATGTCATAAGTTGTTCAATGAAAAGCTTCCCTAATACTAATTACTCTCTCTTGGAATACAGATTCCTGCCGGATAGAGTGGCCTGCTTTTCAGAAGAGCTGATAGCTTCGCGGCTGGTGCCTCTTTTACTCAATCAGCTTGTGTTTGCTGAGCCTGTAGCTGTCAAGAGTTTCCTTCCTCATCTGCTAGGTCCAAAGAAAGGTGACCCTTGAACATTCTGTCTCCAGAATTAACACTGACACATTTGGAGTGAATTCAGAGGAGTAGTGCCTTTGACCAAAGGTTTTCATTTGGTGTTTAAGCCAAGCAAATAATATATGGTAAAGCACCAAAGAAAACTGTCTGTCATTCCAGATGCTGAAGGATGTGAGGTCCCCTGGTTTGTCCGCTAAATTTTCCACTGCTCTTGTCATATTGCTTTCCTCCTGCTGCTGAAAGGGGATTAGCAATTACTTGGATTCCTTCCATGCTGCTATAAATGGCCCCTTCTCGGATGGTGGGGCATGGGGCCTGCTTACAGCACCACAGTGTATATCCTTTTCTCACCATTTACCTGCCCTAACACTCTTGCAGAGAACAAGGTTGCCCTAGCTTGAGCTGGCAAGTTGGCATGTGGCAACTTGTTCCTCTAAGGGTGATCATTTGGCACCCTACCCCCTGCTAGGAGTACTTAATTTCTCCCTCCTAGATTCCTGAAGATCTCCTGTCCCTGCTGCTTGTTCCCTCTTGTATAGAATTCTTCATTGGGGCTCATTTGACCGTAATTATTTAGAGTGATTGCCCTTGAAGAACAAAGCCTTCCTCCCCAACCTTATTCCCCAAGATTGCTGCTTCTGCAGTTCCCAGTTTTGGCTGACCCAGAGAGGGACCTGGATTGAGAATCAAATCTGACTATTGGGTGACAGTATAAATCTTGGCCCTAGAAGTTGCTGGCTGCAGCATATTTTAATTGAGTAGCTTTAACTCAATATGTTATGTCTGGTGTGGGAAGCTATTTGTCCTGTTTTCAAACTCTTTCCCCTAGATAATATTGGAGACTGCCACACAAGTTATCTGCTCTCACCAGCCCTGTTCCAGACTCATGTCATCCCTGTGCTGCTGAAGCTGTTTGAGGTTCACGAGGAGCATGTTCGAATGGTGTTGCTGTCTCACATCGATACCTATGCAGAACTGTTCACACGGGATGAATTGAAAAACATCATATTGCCACAGGTTAAGGATGAGAGGCAACAGGACTGTACATGATGTATCAAATGTGGGGAATTATGCTGTGGGGATGAACTCTGTTCTTGTTAAAAGCAAAGGTCTCGTAGTCCTGGCTGCAGTCAAGCACAGTGTGGGCAACTTCTCTGTAAGCTTTCCCCAAACTCCAACTCTTCCAAATGCATCTCAATCCTGATGTGCTGTACTCTTTGTTTATTTCACTCCCAGCATCCAGCTTTCCTTTCCCCGTCCCCCGGCTAACAGCTCTGCCGGTGCACCACGGGCCTGATCTGAAATACTTCTTGCTATTCCTGTCCTCACCCCAGCTCTGCCAGCATACCTCAATTCTAACTTGAAAAGGATTTTGTTGTTCCGGTCTCAAGCCAAGCCATACCAGTATACACAAATCCTGATTCAGAATACTCCTTTGTTATTCCCATCATAGACCTATGCCTTCATAATTCTGTCACTGTGTGTTAACACTGACTTGCAACATCTCTGTTCATGATTGTGTATTGCATCCCCACTTCATCACTCCAGCATTTCAGTCCAAAGTGTCTTGTGAGCAGAGATGGCTGACCATGCTGAACTGCACCAAACTACCAGGTAGTTTTGCAAAGCAGTCCAGTTTCACTGGGGACTAAGCTTTCAGCCATTTAAATGTGTAACATAAGCTAGAATTTGAACCCAGCTGTGGAGTGAAAGATTAGTTTCTTACCCCAGCATAGTGTTCCACGTTAGGAATTTTGGCTGAGCTGTGGAAAGCGTTGATTTTAAAAATGAATCATGCTGCAGACATACTCTAATGGATGAGCTAAAGAGAAATTGGCTTGGAATCTTTACTGTGTTTCTAATAGTCTTCTTGTATTCTGGTCTTAGGTTTTACTGGGCCTTCGAGATTCTAGTGATAACATTGTGGCAATAACATTGCACAGCTTAGCAGTCCTTGTCTCTCTGCTTGGACCTGAGGTGGTTGTAGGTGGCGAAAGAAGCAAGATTTTCAAGCGCTCTGTACCAAGTTTCACTAAAACTACGGACCTTTCCCCAGATGGTAGGTAAATACTAGAAGGATTTGGGAGCCCAGGCTCCAGGATCTATCTGTGCCATCCAATTTTGTGTGTATTCCTTGGACTCTAAGGCAAGTCCTTCGTGGTCTTTAAGCTTAATGTCTGTGAAGGCCTCTTCTCAACCTGACTGGAGTGATTTGAAATTGCAGATTGTAATAGTGATATAAATCAAAAGCATTTGAATTCTTTTTTTCCCTTAAAAAGAGGTTTGTCATTAGAATAATCATTAACCTGTGGTGATTTGCCTTGATGCTAAATTTGATATTTCTTTTTTGCTAACCAGAATTATAGTCTATCTGGACAATTAAGCTATTAAATCTTTTTTAGATGAGGAGCTACATAAATTCCCCTTAGCTATTACATTTGTGCTAGGTTAGAAAATGATGAAGTGACTCATTTATCAATGATGAGATTTTTACTTGTGACTTGTGTCAAACTGTTTGGATGGAAATTGGAATTCACTTGCATGTAAAGGAATTTGATGTTAAAATTGATTTGTACTAGTCAAAGCCCCTTTAAATATATTGCATATGTTAGAAAAAGTAAGCCAGGTTTTGCATTTAAAAATAAGCCTTTAAAACTAGGGGTTCGCAACCTGTATGCTGGATCTGGCCCAGGGAGCCACTGAATCCAGCCCATAGAGCTGGGACTTTGGAGGCTCTGACTGCAGTGCACTACACATTGAGCAGCCAGGAGCTTTCCTTGTACAGGAGCTGGACCCTTCTGGCCTGTCACCTGAAAATGTTACCGACTGCTACCCTCAATCAAGGAAGCATAATACCTCATTAGTAAATAGATGGATTGGTTCTGGTCATCAGGACACAGATTTTTCAAAGGTGTTTAGGCACATAAGGATGCAGCTAGGTGCCTAGTGGGATACCTGAAAGCACCTAAGGAGGTTAGACACCAACCTCCCTTCAATTTCAATGAGACTAGAGTAGCTGAACTGTTCAGTACCCACTTTTGAGAACCCCATTAAACATCTACCTGCATCTTTAGGCACCTAAATCTCTTTGAAAAATCTGGCCTGGTGTCTTTTTGTTTCTTAACCCAGTAGATCTCATCTTCTACCACCTGGTTTTTCATTCATAGATTGGATGAGGAAAACGAACTTTCCTACTTCTTTCTGCTCCCCAGTTTTTGACGTTTGAACTAGTCCAAATGAAGAAAATATTCTCTAGTAAATGAGGGGAAAGCTTTTCTGCAGGAACAGTTGCTGAGAATAGTTACGTTTGGAAAAATGGGAATAACATCACTCGCTGCATTATGAAGACTGAAAGTAGTAAAGAAATCTACTGCAACATGTGACATTGTGTCTCCCTTAGAGCTTAAATTGACCTTAAGAGTTAGATACTTTTCCCTGATTCTGTATGTAACGGAAAAAGGCACGTTTAAACTTATTAAAATTTGTGGACAGGTCACCAAGCACTTTTTTTTATTTATTTAAATGATTTCAATAAAGCATAGTAAATGTAAAATGACATTCTACAGCCTACATTTTATTTTAAGTGAGTTTTTTTTTAAATGTATTTACATTAAAAAACATCCAGAATCCAGATTTTAAATAAAAATTCAGATTTTTTGGACTCCTGAAAAATCATCAGTTTTAGCAGTGAAATTAATCCACAAGAATAGCAGTGGAGCAACACAATTAGCAACAGATTGCTCTGGCAGCAAGCTTTATTGGTGAAATTCTTAAGGGAGAGGGGGGAAGAGAACAGATGAACCTGCTGTTGAAAGCCCAGGCTGGGACCAAGTGTGCACCAGCAATGTTACAACCTTCCCTTTAATTAAAGGGGTTCAGAGTTGTTTGGTTAGTTTAGTTAAAGGCTGTTCACAGTTGGTCCCTGTTAATAAGTTGCACAGAACTGTGGAACAGATGCTGTTAAATGTAGGGAAGAAGCAGGTGTCTAAGAGCTTTGTTACATTTTAACCGTTTGGAAATTACCTGTTTTGGCTTTACAAAAAAAAATGTAGAAGATAATTGGTTTCCTTGGTGTGAATTGTAGGCCTTGTCCCTCAAGTACTCTTCAGCCTTCTCTAGCTCCACCCATACAGACCCCAGCATACACTCTGTTTCCACCAGCAAACTGCAGGTGACATCAGTGAAACGGGTAAATGGCACTGAGGCAAATCAAACTGCACTGGGATAAAAGGTGTTATGTTGGGGGATTGCACCTGGGCAGTTACATGGTCACAGTACAAATGCAGCCCCCACCCACTCCTATTTGTGATCCCTGGTTGAACCACAGATAGAGAATGCTGTCTACCATGGAGTAGGCATTGTCATGGCCCTCTTAGCTTAAAGCTTTACTGTGCGAGCTTGTAAAATCTAGAGGGGCCATACAGCTGATGATCTGTATCAACAGTTCAGTAGCCATTTAGTGCCCCTGTAGCAACAGTACAGTAGCCATTAGTGTGTACCTGTTGCTGTGCCCTAGAACTCCTCTTTCATTCAATGCCAGCAAGCTGCTTTTGTCAAAGCCTCAGGGAAGCACATAGGGGTTTGTTCTGCATACATGCGTGCATTCAGCAGGGATAGGAGCCAGGGGAGGAGGTGACAAGGGAGTGTCGCTGGTATCTTTCTTACCTTTGTGTAGTATAGAAACGTGTTGAGAAGCCTAGTGGCTAAACAAAGAGCATTTATTGTCTTGGGTCTAATAAGATCCAGACAGGGATTTTGCTATTTCATTTAATGATTTTTTGAAAGTGCCACAATTTCAGCTATATTCACACAGGGATCTGCAAAGCACCAGGCCCTCCATTTAGGAGAATTGAAGTGCTGCACTAGCAGTTTGCCAGCAGCCTGAATGCCCCCAGACTGCAGAAAATGGAGCAGTTTCTGGATGAAGCTGGAGGAGCAGCCTGTGGCACTACAAACCTCTACTTGCAAGTCTTCATTTTGATTGAGTGTTGCTTAAATCCATTGCACATTGGGGCTAACAGTCTTGATGGGCTGCACTTCTGTATTGTAAAAGGTAGTGGCTTGAGTGTTTAAAATTATCTGGGCCAACTCAGGCTTCATATTAGCAATGAAAGCTAATGGAGTGTTCCAATGTACCTTTAATTGGCAGGAGTGGTCACAACAGTGGAGCAAACAGCATCATTTATATTGCTTTGTATCCCTGCAGACTCCCCAGTTTGCATTTTGAGCAATCAAAGAAATCAGCTGTCCCAGCCCCTACAGAAGAACTCCTCCAGTGTGTATCCTAAGTGCCCCATCTCTGAGAATGTGCCCATCAGCAGCAAGAAATATCCATCAAGACCAGACACTCATGTGGCCCTAAAGATGAGTAAGTTTTTCTCCAACAATGCTTTCATCCTAGACAGGCCTTACTACAGTAATGAAACGTTTGCTAATTGGGGATAGCATGACTGCACCCCCACCTGCTTGCTTTGAAAGGGCTACAGAGCAGTGGAAGATGATGATTTTTAAAATGATTTTTTTTCAGATCAGCCTTTTGCGGTGAAGTGAATTGTTAGATAGAATTGACTGGGGAGAGTGCAGGGAAATATGTGAAGTAAACATGCAGCCTCTGAGCACAGTTGTAGCTGACTTGAATAGCCATGGTACCAGGAGGGAGATCCTTGGTGTTCTGTTGACAAGCAGGTAGATAGTCAGGATAAGAGAAAGCAATGATGCTGCTGGCCAAGAAAGGAGTATTGCTATGTATTTGCAAGGGCAGGTCTCTTCCTGCCCCTCACACCCTGTCAAATCTGCTGGCCCTTTTATTAGAGGTTAGATCAGGGGTGGGCAAAATTGTGGATCTGGCCAGTGGCCAAACTCCATTTCCCAGCAGCCCCTGCCTGTATGGCTGGGGCTGGTTTCCTTGGAGACCCCAGCAGCAGCTGTGCTGTGAGAGCAAGGGACCAGGGTTTCTGTGGAGACCGGCCCCAGCAGTGCTGGCAGGACCTACAGCAGGGCATGGAGCTGCTCTGCAGTCGGGCCGGGATGTTGTGGCAGTAACAGCATGGTCTAGAGCTGATCTGCAGACTGCAGCTCTGCCCCAGCTCCAGACCATGCTGTCACTGCTGCAACATCCCAGCCTGGCTGTGGAGCAGGTCTGTGCCTTGCTGCCTGCCCTGCACAGGCAGTGGCGGCTGAACCCATCCTGCTCCTGCCTGTAGCACAGCACCCCCCAGGAGGAAGCTGGTGCCTCTGCTGCCTGCCAGCCTGTATGGAAACCCTTCCCCCCCTGCTATCACAGCATAGCTGCTGCTAGGGTCTCCATGTAAACCAGCCCCAGTCATGTGGGCAGGGGTTGCTGGGAAATGGAGTCTACTGCTGGCCAGGTACAGCCTGTGGGCTGGACTTTGGCTGCCCCTGGGTTAGATAGGGCAGCAGCTCTAGCATTGTACCTGTCTTCCTGTCATTAAGCTAGATGTTACATTTGCCATGGCTCATACACTTGGTCTTCAGCAAGCTGATCAAATGTCCACCAAATACGATAGTTTTCCTGAAGCTTCATTCAGCTTATCTGCTCCTCCGGCTCACTTGTCAGTTCTGGTTAATGTTCCAAGGTGAATAACCCTTGCATATTAGGCTGAAAATCAGCAAGGGCTTATGATGCAAGAGACACTGTTCCACTGCTTTCCTTACCTCCACCCTCCCCAGCACTGAAGAAGCTTGCACAGTTCTCTGTTGGAGGTGGGATGCTGGCTCTATGGACCATAGTTGCAGTGATAGTCCCCAAGCTGGGATATTCCTCAGCCAAGCAGTGTCAGGGTACTAGGAGTTTTTAAGTACTTCATTTCATGAGGGGATTATGGCACTAGTATGTAATGTTTGTGTCTTCTCCAGGCAAGCAAGACCCTCAGCTGTCCCTAAACGGATTGCCTGAGGGAATAAATGCTTTGGGGAACAGCAGAAGCATCTTGAATATTTCTGAAAAGCTGTCAGAGGAGTGGCCAGACTGGAGTGAGTCTGAGGACACAGAAACTGACAAAACTGTGAACATACAGATCCAAACAAGAGAACCTTGCAGCAGTACTGACCCCTATTTTGCTGAACATAATGCAGATGAGGAACCCTGGGACGACTTTGAACCCAGCAGCCCCAATCCTGAACTGTCCTCAGGGAACAGCCTTGATGTGACAACACCTGATGCAGTCACAGGGCAGAGACTGTTTCCTCCTATCCTCCAACTGAGCAGAGAATCCAGAAGCCTCAAACTGAGTCCTCCCCTGAAGTCCACCCCCATGAACAGCTGGAGCAATGACAACTGGGAGTTCCCAGACAAGCTGGGAAAAACCACCATGCTGCCAAAAACACTTCAGGAGAGGCCAAAGTCTGCAATGGAGACTGGTTTAGGAGAAGAGTTCACTATCCAAGTAAAGAGGAAACCAGTGCAAGACCCTGAGTTGGACTGGTTTGCTGACATGATCCCAGACATTAAACCATCTTCACCACTCTTGCTTTTACCTGAACTGAGGACTGAATCAGTTGGTCCCAGTTACGTAGATGCAGATTCCAACAGTGAAGACGTCTCCCAGATCATGCCATTCTCATCCAGATTTGCAGCAGTTGAAGTTACCGAGGTGAGGATTGGGGATACGAGTAAATGGTACAGTTTTAAAAGAAAAAGAGTGGTTTTGAGGATGCATACCACATGCAGGTTCTGCAGAGCCCACTGCTGCTCCTCAGTCATGTGCCATGAGTAGTAAGGCCTTGGATGTGGAATAATGGGTGCTTAAAATTAGTGCTTCTGTCTGCACAGTCTGCCTATCAGTTATCTTCTGAAGAGGTTTTTAACTCATCAGAGACTCTGTTAATTTTCATAGACTTGTTGTAGCTGCAGATACTATTCATGCTAAGAGGCGCACACAACTAATGAGTAGTGTGCCCAAAATGCAGGGTCTTTCCAACTAAGTCAGGATGGTTTAAGGATTGAGGACCAGGAATGGGGATTATTAAATCCTTTCCCCTCTAGTTCATAGGTTCAAATCTAGACAGGGAGCCTCTGAGAGCTGATTGTCATTTGTTGCCTTGGTAGTTTTACTGTGAAAGCTGAAGTGCAGTGGAAGGATTCAGTGTCGGAGGCATAATATTTAAATGTTAACTTTTTTATAGTGGGCTTATTCTTTAGAAGTAAAGGTAACTAAAAGCTTCCCCCTACTGCTTTTTTAAATTTTAGTGCAGAGCTCTTGTAGGTAGTTCTCCACAAAACTGCAGGAGCAAGAGAGGGGGTCAGGAACCAACAGTGTCAGTAGACCTTTGCAGCCTAGTTCAATTAGCCTGATTCACTAGCCAAAGCTCCAGGAGCATGCAAGCTTCTGACTGTGCAAAATCATTCTTCTCTCCCTTCTTATACAGATCTGAAGCATCTTTCCTATACTAGCTTTGCATTTTAAAACCCAGCTGTGTTCTTTTTAAACTTGTGATGAGACAAACGGCTCTCTTCTGTTTGAACCCTTCTGGGAGGAAGGAATGGCTGACTTTCCCCTAAAAGCTTTTTGCCACCTGAGGGTACCTTACAGTTGCATTGTGTTGATGAGCAAGGGACATCCTTGATGAAGCTGTAACCACTTTTTAATTTCCCGTCCTCTGCATGCTCTCTCTCTAGAGCGTTCTTGGAATGAGGGCACAACTTTATTCTCCTTGTGGAATATGTGAGACAGGATTCAGGGCTTGGTAAATCTTCAGTTCACAATCTCCCTCTAAATGCAAAGAGGAGTGGCAGCTGCAGATGGTAACCGTTTTGGTCTTGTGAGGTGGTGGTAACTATTGCTACTTCCAGGGAACATCTGTTTCTCCCTTAGCAAGTGCTTACTGACTGGCACAGAAATAAATGCATGACACTGCTTATTTAACATGAGGGGTAGAGCTCCAGCTGCTCTCAGCCTTCTATAAACCAAAGACTAGATCAGAGCTGAGCATGCAACAGTGCTTCAAACTGCACCCTGGTGGGGGAGGCTTCTTTCATAATTGGTCTTTGGGTCTCAAACATGTGGCAGAGTTTTTCATGACCTGGATTATCATGTATATTTGTCATGTAAGTGTTCTTATTGTACTGATGTTCTTAAGTCCTTAATGACAGTTCTTATGTAATTGTAGGCTGATGCTGCAGGCTGGGATGAAGAAGAAGAGCTGAACTGGGAGGATGACACTAACTGGTGAAGGACAGGTGGAGGCAAGAGCTTTCTGTGACTTACCAGATTCTCCAGGAAGAGTCACTGCTTCCAAGCTATTATGGATCAATACCTCACCACCCCTACCAGGAAGAGGCACTTGCTCTAGCACTCAGTAAGATCCCAGTGCAGCTTAACTGCCTGCAACAGGATGCTCTTTCTTCCAGCCTGTGCCAAAATACTGAGGTCAAGGCCTGTGCTCAAGCCATATGTACAAGGAAGGTGCATAGCACTGCTGTTGGAAGAACAGTGTCAAGGGTCTGTGTAATGGTACCAACACACTACTGGAGGAGGAGAGGGAATTTATCCTTATATTCCAGGAATCATCAGTGCTTTGGAAAACTCTTGAAAATAAATGAAAATTGCATTAATTGAGCTAAATTGTTCCTGTTTGTACCACTTCTTTTTTTGGAGAAAAAGGCTTTGACTTTTCAGGTACAAAAGGCAATCATTTTAGACTGACTCTACTTGGTACCTGGATGACCTATTTATTTCTGTTTACATGCTGTGCTGCTAGGAGACTGTTAACGGAGGGAGTGTTTGATACAAACTGTATCGCAGCTCAAAATCCACTCCTCTTTAAACCTGACCAATAAAGAGTATTTTCAAAAGATGAATGTTGGAGTGGAACAGCAGCTAAGGTATGTATTCTCTGTGGCCATGAAACCTTAAGTTATAGATTTGAAAACATTCAGTGTTCACACACACACACACACACACACACACATTGTTAACAATTTAATTAAAAGTGTCACCACCCTCTCTACCTGTACACATAGCAGGGCAACTGCTGTAGCCATTCATTTTCTCTTACAAAAAATTCAGATACCTTATTACACTTGTCAGTTCAATTTGCAGCAAATGAAACACTTTAAAAAAGCTGTCTTCTATATACAATCAACAACATGAAACATCAACTCCTTCACACAACACAAAAATAGGTTGGCCTATTTAGCCAACTAATGTGGAAGGCAGGTCACCACCCCTTAACACTAATGAGGCAATTTAACAGAGGACAAACTGAAGAAACATTTAATCAACACCAGAGTCTCTATACCAGCTTATCACCACAGTAACTCCTTTTCAGATTGTTTTTTCAGCTGGGATCCTCTTGTGGCACTGTCTCTGCTAGCTGAGCCATTTAATGTCTAAACACATTTCAGTTTCTTACCACGTGGTCTCTTAAGCTGGCTAGAGCTGCCTGTAGAGCCTCTAATTTCACTGTAAGCCAAGCAGGTGGAGGTCCTTTCTGCAGCAGCAACTTCACAGCTTCCAGTGCCCCCTCTGCTGTGCCTATTGCTGACTTATACTGCTCCTCGGAGGGTGAATGACAAGCTCTCTTTGCTGAAGGCTGCAGATTCAAACACAAACTGTTACATTTCTAGTATGTTACTGTCCTATTACAATAGATAATTTTCCATTTAAGACTTTAAATGTAAGTGATCATTGTAAGCACAAGAGCACCTTCAGGAGAGCTTTTCACATAGGTTTTGGGTGCAAAGATCTCACTGTTTCAAGCACTGGTGGTTAAAGTGAGAATTTCTGTCATGCCATTTCAGTATGAAGTTCCCTCATTATCAGAAGTGGGGCAGAGACTCCTGCCTTTTAAGTTTCGTTTCTTTTCTTTTTTTTTTACTGAGGGTTAGTAGGTTCTTCCCGATTCACTTTAGTGCCCTTGTAAATATTAATAAGTTGGAGTGCGAGTACATACAGGCTGTCAGGTACTCCTGCTGCCCTCTACACAGTAACATCATCATTTACCTGAATTGAAGACAACTCTGAATAAGATTCTAGGCATGGAATATTTATAATTTTGTTCTCGTTTTCCCCTCTTACCTTCCCTTTTCAGCACCGGTTCCTGCTGGGGCCACGCAGCAGCTGGTGTGGTGGCAGTCTCAGTCTTGTGGGCAAAGCTGCCACCATTGCTGTGTGGCTGAGGCTGGAGGCAGCACACACTCTGTGCTCCCCGCCCTGGCCCAGAGCAGGGGGCCCAACAGGAGCCGGAGCTGTGAGGTAAATGGGGGCGTGGAGCGGAGGTGGGAGGGTGGAGCAGTACTCAATCTACAACAAGGGGCTTTTTCCCACCATAATGAATGGAGAAAATATATATAGTCTTAGATTGAAGTAAATACAGTAATTCTGCAGAGGCATGAACTGCTGAATTAAAGGGAAAGTAGGAGGGGGGGGAAAGGAACCCCACACCAATATGCAACCAAAAGCACAGCCTTTACTTATGTAAGTCTAGCCAGCTTTCGCTGCCTGTGCTAAGTCTGTTATAGAAGCAAGCCTGGTTCTCCTGCTGCTGATGCCTTAAGAAGGCAGTGCTTCAGAGTGGAACAGGCTGTGCTGAGCTCAGATACTACTAGGGAACCCTGGCTCAGGGTATGAGACAGAGAGGTACATATATATTATCCCTACCACCAACAGCATTTTACTTCCAATTACAAGTCTTAAAGTAAAACTTCCTTAACCTTTAGAAAAGTGGCCTGTTAAAGCCTTGAACATGATCACTAGCAGATTTTGTAACACATAGCACCAACTATCCCCACCTGCAGACTCCTCCCTCAGTCCAGAGAGGCAAAAGAGATACAAGCACCTGAAGCCTAAACTGCAGTCTCAAAGCCAGACTCTGCTTGCTGAGAGGGTTAAGCCCTTGTCATAACCAGAGCAGGAAAAGACAAGCAGGCTGCCTAACTTAAGTGCCCATTCACCACATCTGAAAATTGGTACAAATCTCCAATATGCAGTTCAACTAGTGTGAATGATGCACATACCTCTAATATTGACCCCAGGTCACCATCCATTTTCATTTTCTGAAAGTATCTATTGCAAACTGCATTTTCTTGTTTCATTCTTTCTGCCCTTGCTTCTGCTGTCTCTTCCACCTGCCTTGTCTAAGGGAAAAACCACAGGAGAGTTACCCAGAATAGCAGCGTTTCCAGCCTGCATACATGCTCTGGGGAAATGAAAATATACTTTCAAAACTAAAGTGAGAAAAATCCCATTAAACTGCCAACCAGCCTGTCTTCCTCAGAGCAACGTTTCAAACCCAGCAGATTAGCAAAGGGAGGAGCAGCCACCCTTTGTTGTGACAGCACTGCCAAATACCAGTTACTCTGCTGCCTTCCTACTGACTGCTGTGAAAAACCTATGTACTCCCTCCATCAGATCTATTCCCTCTGAAGTGCTGGATGACCAGTGGAAAACTGGCTCATCAACAGACACTGAAGTCTTGCTAGAGTCAAGGCAGTAAGTGAACTGCATTCATGTAAACATTTTCCAGTGTTCTTCCAGTTAGGCAATATAATTTTCTCTCTTCCCTTGCACGTTTGTTAGCTTTTCTCAAGCCATAATCTGGAGGCTGACATGGTCACAGATTTTCATGAAGGTTCCCCCTTTTCAACTGGAGCATGAAAAAAAAAGCACATAAACCAGCTAGGGGGGTTAGGGACCTGGCCTTTCTCCACTGCTAACTTAGGCTGTAATTGTTTACAGCACAAGAGAGTTGCCACCTGTCATCTTTTCACTTACAGACACCTTCTCAACTTACAAAGTCACCCCTCCCTAAGTTGAGTCACCCTTTACCCAAGAAGGAAAAGTCAAGGCATTAACAAGTCAAAACTGAACAGCATTGGGAGAACTGCGTGGGTGAGGAGTTTGTAGCAGGTGTCGACATTATGCTTGATCTCAGCCAGTGCTGACACATATTAAAAACTCAAATCTGATTCCAGTCGCAGAGCAGTCTGATTTCATGTTATTGTTGGCAAAAGCCATTCTCTGTTAAGCAAGGCCATAGTAAGAGTTCAACCAAATACCTTGGCCAGAAAGCAAACAACTTTGTTCTTACTGTCTTCAGAATTAAGGCACTGAGGAACTATGTCTTCATGGCTTGTTTCCTGTCAAAGGTGTTGAACAAAAAATCTGATTAGTCTTCAACATAGCAGTCAAGATGAACTATAGAACATCTGAAAAAGGATCTGTGTAAATGGGTTATGTGCACAGATTGAGAAAAGAAAGTGTATGTGGTATTCAGGACATAGGAAATCTGTTCTTCCTTCGTCCAAGCTTATGTTACTATGTTTTCCTTGCACAGCCCCTTTTCTCTGGTGCAGTAGTAGTAAGAATACCAAAGTCAGTTCAGAGCAATTTGCTGCGAAAATGATATTAACAAAGTGAAGGGAATTCAGACAGCAGCAACAGAAATTAAGAAATCTCTATATGAAATAAATTAAGTGTCAAACATGTATATCCAAGGTACAGCCGTTCTTACCTCTGCAAATTGAGCAAATGCCTCCAGGGCATGTTGGTGAATCAGCCAAGTCCTGTCAGCCAACAGAGAGCCAAAGAGACCTGACAGCTTGGACACAACTTGTCCCTGAAAAGTGAGCAAGTTCTCATCAGATATCTTACACAGTGGTAAACTCTGCATATACCATGGTCATGATTCATTGTGAAGGAAACACTATGCAAGCAGAGAAAGTCAGCCACAGTGCTGGCTGGCAACAAATATGGTAAGAAGGAACACCCTTCCATCCTATGCACACTCCTCATCTAAAGCTCAAGCGCTAGTTCTAGTAAACTTCTGGGAAACGACAACATGTACATGAGTCCACCAAACATCCTACAATCATTAGGTACAACTGAGATAATCTCAGTGGAATATGAAACCTATGTAAATCATTATCTCCTGTCTTAAAAATGTCTCCTGAGGATCATTATCCTGTGGCGCTGTTGCAGTTCATGAACATGATCCTTTAATTATATATATATATATATATATACACACACACACACACACACACACACACAAGCTCATGATAAATGTGACCCCCAGTGCATTTTACCTGGACTACTTGGGGTATAAACAATTTTCCCAGAGATGAAAGAAAATCCACTGCTGCCAACCGAATGTGATCTGGAGGATCCAACTGAAGGAGGGAAGTTTGCAATACAAATACCTGCAGGAAAATACATCTGTATGAAGACCCACAAAATAACAGGACTACAGATTAAAACTTTAGGCTCTGAGATGACCGTTGAGCTTGAGTATGCCAAAGTCTAGAACAGGGGTGCTCAACCCCTAGTCTGCAGAGCAGTGTCATCTGATCCAAGTCCAGAAATTTGGCAGCAGGGAAACGGTTGCAATTAACACTGCCACCATTCCCCCAACACCAAATTTCCAAACCTCACACGGATGGCTCAGGCCCCAGCAGGGCCAGCATTGCATGCTATATCAGGACTATGGACCAGATGTGGCCTGTGAACTGACCAGGCACCATTCAGCCAGCCCACAGAGCAAATAGTTTGGGCACCACTGGCCCAGAAAGTTAGATGGGATATTTGATGCAGCAATGGAACATACCTGCAGCAAAGCAAGTATTCTAGAGCTGTTCAAGGTATTAAAAAAATGCCTGAATTCATCATTTCCAACATGACTTTTTATAGACATAAACCCACAAACACTAACTTAACTTCTGGAGAAAAAACACACGACATTCCTAAAAATTATAGTGACCAATGCATAGCATTAAGCAAAGGCATCAGAGAAAGAATTCAAAATAAAGTTAAGAACTCTTCATTGTTGCTAAATGGTAGAAATCAGACCATGGAAGCAATTCATCAGATGTTTCTTAGTCAGCCAAAGGCCCAGTATTTACTAAGTAGACTGTCTAATAAGGTTCTTACCTGAATCATCAGTTGAGGCTCTAACGTCAAGCTGAAAAATTGCAGCAGCTGAAGCAGTAAGCAGAGTGTCTGCTGGAGACACTGTTGACTTGAGACCTTTAGCAGATCAGAAGATATCATTAGCAACAGAACACTTCTGCTCACCAGGCAATTCAACTGATGTAGAAAAAACTTAATACTGCAATAATGTTCCCAAATACTCAGTCTGGCCTCAGACAAATAGACCACCACCCGATTTGTGAGAAGCTGGGAAGAAGACAAAAAAAAGAGGAGTAAAGAAGTGGTTTAAGAAGTAGGGGTGCACCAATAGACATTTTGGGGGCCAATACTGATCCGATTTCTGATACAGCTGAGTCCATCTGGTAAGTCTGTTGTGGTAAAAGGGGAGAGGGGAGGGAAGGGGCAGATCAACACCCCCCTGTGGGGAGGAGGTGCGGCTGGGGCTAGATTAGGCGCTGCCAGGGCAAGGCAGGCACAGGACCCCCCCCCCCGCCACTGCAGCTGCTCATCCAGTGGCTCCCACCGCTTGTCTGGGGGGCACAAGGGTGGGGAGGAGGGGCATTTGCCCCCAGAGCTGCACAGGGCAGGGTAGGGCAAGGTGGGGCTGAGCCACGGCTCCACCCCCCGGACGAGGCTTTGGGGTACTATTCTGAACAGATATGGGTTTTGTTCACACTGGTAATGGATTTTACATCACTATATATCTATATGGCTATATATCTATATGTAAATAGAAAAAATGGCCAACTGTGGCCTCGGCTACATCACAGTCTGATGGCTGGGGAATTGGCTCCAAGGTTGGACCCAGAGAGTGGTGGTCAACAGAAATGAATCATCATGGCACTTCGTGACCAGTAGTGTTCCCCAAGGGTCCGTCCTTGGACCGGTACTCTTTAACATCTTTATTAACGATGTGGATACAGGTGTCAGAAGCGGAAGGGCCAAGTTCACTGATGACACCAAACTTTGGGGTAGAGTATCCACAACCCAAGGATAGGCTGGTAATGCAGGCTGACCTTGATAGGCTTAGAAAGTGGGCGGATAAAAACCTGATGACATTCAATACAGATAAATGCAAGGTACTCCACCTCAGTGTGGGGGGTGGGAAAAAGCTGCATCACGCTTATAGGCTCAGCAGTGCTACACTTGCTAGCACCGCAGCCAAAAGGGACTTGGGGGTCATGACTGACCACAAGATGAACATGAGCCACCAATGCGATGTTGCAGCTGATAAAGTGAACAAAACTCCAGCTTGCATCCATAGATGCTTCTCAAGCAAATCTCAGGACGTCATCCTCCTGCTGTACTCGGCTTTGGTGAGGCCGCAGCTGGAGTACTGCATCCAATTTTGGGCTCCACAATTCAAGAAGGATGAGGAGAAGCTTGAGAGTGCAGAGGAGAGCCACGTGCATGATCATAGGGCAAGAGAATGGGCCTTATGAAGAGAGGCTAAGAGCCATGGGACTCTTCAGGCTGGAAAAGCACAGGCTCAGGGGTGACCTGGTGGCAGCCTATAAGTATATAAGGGGTATATATCAGGATCTGGGGAAACACCTGTTCACCAGAGCACCCCAACAGATGACAAGGTCCAATGGTCATAAACTCCTCCAAGACAGTTGAAGGCTGGACATAAGGAAAAACTTCTTTACTGTCCAAGCCCCCAAAGCCTGGAATAGGTGCAAGCACCTACTCTAGACACTTCTAAGAAACGTTTGGATGCTTATCTTGCTGGGATCCTTTGACTCTAGCTGACTTCCTGTCCTTGGGGCAGGGGGCTGGACTCAATGATCTTCCGAGGTTCCTTCCAGCCCTAATGTCTATGAAATTATATATTTCATAGACATTATGAAATGGTATATTTACCAGTGGACACTGGTAATGGATTTTTTTATATATATATATATAAAAAAATCCATTACCAGTGTCCACTGATGTCAATGGGGCTACAGCAATTTGCACCACCTTAGGACACCACCCCTCTCTCTGTTGAGTGCAGCACAGCACATATGTAGCAGCAGAGTGCCAAACAGAGCCACAGCCAACCCAATTCATGCTACATATCACTGCACATTCTTATAAGGACATCAGAACATCAACTCTGCATCTCAGACACCATGGAGAGCCAGGCTGCACTATGCTGTAGGAAAACTTCTAAATCCAAGTTAAATGATTCAGTAATACACAATGGTGAAACAAGCTCTTCAGGACAGTGGTTTATGCTATTGGAATAGTGAACTCCCTCACCTGCTTGACCTGGAGGACAGCCCAGACCTGACCAACAATTCCCAAGATGGCTGCCTGCTGTCCTGCCTCCAGAACACCCCCAGCAGAATTACACACAGTCAGCAAGGCGGAGAGAGCAATATTCTAGCAGAGATAGAAAGGAAAGTCATGATAAAGGCAAGTGCCCAGCCTATGAAATTCACCCATTAAGACCTCACGTGAAGTTAACTGTACTCCAGTCACTGTCTAGTGTAGCCAATCCTCTGAGCTACTTAACACCATCCTTAGTAAGGCAAATTTTCTGTGACTTCAGATGGGGGTTTACAGTTCTCCAGAGGGTGCTGCAACTCTTTCTTAGGCTGTCAAGAAAGCCAGTGCTTATTGCTTTCAGATGCATCACCTTCAGGAGAACAACAATGACTTAAAAGAAAAATTCTAACCTAAAATATACACACACACACACTTAGGCAAGGGTACTCCACCTTTCTAATCCAAAAGTAATTAGAATAGTTATTGACTCAGTACGGCTTTCACTACATTTTGTTACCTTGATATTTGATAGCAGATGGACACAAGCAGTAAACACACATTGCAAGGTAATGCATTCTGATGGTCTCTTTCTGATTTAAGGAAATTTTGCATTCTTCTAGGTTCAAATTTCCAAAAGATAAGAATTTCCTCTTACAACTGGGCTCCTACATCTGTATTTGCACACATATACATGTGGCCTGATTTTCATGAATGATGAGCCCTGAGAAGCGCCAAGTAATTAATAGAGCTGTGCAAAGCTTTGGTAGCCGATTCAATTAGATCTGGCCCGATTTGGCAGCCATATCTCCAAATCCTAATCGAATCAGTAGACCAGTTAAAAGGTCTGACTCAGTTGGAAGCCTCCAAATCGATTCAGAAAAGATTCGACGCCGCTTTAGAGATTCGGCCATAGACTAAACAGGCAGCAGTCCTCACCAGGTTGGACACAGCTGCCTCCAGCTGGTAAGTCTGTTGTGGTGGGAAAAGGGGAAAGGAAAAGGGCATGGGGAAAGGAGGGATTAGGGCTGGGACAAGCTCCCCAGCCAGGGCAGGGTGGGGGGCTGGAGCGCTGGGAACGGGCTCTGACCTACTGCCACTTGCCCAGCTTGGGCTGGGGGAGAAGGGGTGTAATACAGGCACAGCTTGCTCCAGGCAGAAGGGGACAAAAGTAGTAGGGCATAGCCCCCACTCCCAGCACTGCTGCACCCACATCCTGCACCCCCCGCCCCAGCTGGACAAGCAGTGGCAGCACCCAGTATATGTCACTTGCCCAGCAGGGCTGGGGGGGGGCACACGATGTAGGCACAGTAGCACTGGGAGCAGGGGCTATGCCCTACTGTCGCTTGCTCCCTTCCACCTGGAGGGAACCACGCCTGCATCACGCCCCACCCCCTCAGCTGGGCAAGCAGCAGCAGGGTATAGTCCCCATTGCCATGCCCACATCCTGCACCCCCTTCCCTGAGTCTCCCCACCCCCCAGGCTGGGCAGCTCGTCCTCCCCTCCCCCCTCTGCCCACCACAACAGACTTACCAGCTGGAGGCAGCTGTGTCCAGCGTGGTGAGGACTGCTGCCTGTTCAGTCTATGGCCGAATCTCCGAAACGGCATCAAATCTTCAGATCCGATTTGGCCAAATCAAATTGGGACAGTGATATGAATCTCCGAACTGAATCACTGTCCCTCCAATTCGGCCAAATCCAAATCCAAAGCAAATACTTGCTGCTTTGCACAGGCCTAGTAATCAATATGGTGACAAGTCAATCACTTCTTAGCACTTTGAATATAAGAGGTATCAGAGACATGAAAGGACTTTAAATCATCTGTGCTGGCTTGTTCAGCTCATTCTCTTAATTTGTTTTCTCTGGCTCAATTCTGCACCATAGCCCCTTATCCCCAATATTCTAATACAATAAACCTCCTAATAATATTCATAAAAACTACCCTACAATGTCTGGAGGCCACAATCAAGAGATCAGGGCCCCACTGCACTATAAGCTGTACCCACCCAGCCCATAAAATGCAAACTCCTGCCCCAAAGAGCTGTCAGCCCAAAAGCACATGGGACTGCACAACAATGAGATAAAGAAAATAAGCAGGGGTGGGGGAGCAGTTTATTCTGAAGAACTCTAGGCCCAGGAGTGTTAACAATTAAACCCACGCTTACCACATGTGGGAGCTCTCCTAGTGTGCGCCTGCCACTCAGCCACTGCCTGCTCTGCACAAGCCCTACCCCACAGAGCTGGTTCACCACATGTTTCATTATATCAGGAGCTAGGGCCTTGAGAGAAATAAGCTGCCAGACAGGCAGGTTTTCCAGTTCTGTGGGAGGAAATTTTTGGGTAAATTCCACCTATAAGAAAAAAGAGACCAAGAAAGAACCTTAAGAAATGAAAGAGCTAGTCAAGGAGTCTGCCAAACCTACAAACAGCAACAGTGCTTGCAAGTACCTTGGACTGTGCTGCTTTGGAAATCTAACAAGGAGACATGAGCCCTGCATAGGATATGTTAGAACAAGCTACTTACTCGGGGTTAAACAACTTGTGCTTTCAGCCATGTGACTGGGATGGCCTGCAAGTGTAAATCTGCATTGCTGCAATGAAGTCAGTGGAGCAATAGCAATTTTACATTGATGGAACAATTAATTATCCATGAAAAGCAGGATGATGCTGAACTCTCCTGCACTAACCAACCCCTCCAGTACAGACAGACATAGTCCTGATGAAGCAAGATGCACTATATCAGAAACCAGCAAGTCCCAGAGACTGGGGATTTTTATATTTGGGCAAGAAGGCTTCTGTGCCTACTGTTATTTAACAGAATTCATGTAAGCACCTTAGGCTCTGCCATCACCATTTCCTGGAGCCTAAAGCAAGTGCAATAACAAGACGGTTCCACGCTCCCTTTTCTTGCTTACTGAAAAGAGCTGGGTGGTATTTTAACAGGCATATGGAGCTTATGTCTGACTCATCAGATGGTAGGAGAGAGATTGATACTATACTTGCCTGGTGGTCTGGAGCCATCAAAAACAGCATACGCCTCAGGAGGACACCCAAGATAGAGAGCTGGTAACACTCACTAGGGCAAGACTTTATCTGAATTAGGATAACAGGGAATTGATCTAATTAAATTAAGAAAAAGAAAATCTGCTCAGAAATAGTCCTACAGAAAAACCATTTTTGTGACAAAGTGCAGAAAAATTCAACAGATATTTAGTCTCATTTCAGGTGGCGAGAAATCGAATTCTTATATTCAAGATTATATTTGCCTTCACAGCCACCACAGCCAGGCTTTCCCTGAATTACTACTGGCCATCTGCTGGGTATTTTTATTAGATGGTGCTATTTTTATCTCTAATATAATTCAATTTATCCTTGTGGCATCCCATTTGGTTCCTCTCTGCCTATTCCTCTAGTCCAGTCGTTATCAATCTGTTTAGACTCAAGGCACCCCTCAGAAAACACTAGCTCCTAGTTTTCACTCCTTGACTGACTACTGAACAATAACAGAGCAAGTCTTCTGCTGCAAAGAACTCAGAAAGACCACAATAGGTCAGAATCTTTTTAACACTGTGAATTCCTATTTGAAACCTCTGGGTTTATCTTATGAATCATGTTTGTACATCTAACAGTGCTAACATTGCGTGACACCCCACAGCACCCTTGAAAAGATTTAACAGTACCCCTGAGTGCCAGAGCACCCTGGTTGAGAATCTGTCATGTGGGATCAAAAGAGTAACGTTTGCATGTGTAGTTTTTATAAAAGATTTGCACTGTCTACTTATTTTGTAACCCTTCTCCCGGACTGTTTTGTTCTATAAACTTTGTGTAATATTTTTTATAGTGTAGGAAGTGTTACGCTGGAAGAAAGAATATTCCCCACTTTGCTGACAGGAAAAGTGAAGCGCAAAAAAGAGGACAGTCATTTATAAAGAAGAACCAAGTTAGAACTCAGGTCCCTTACTCCAGGCTTTGCCATGCTACTCACCAAATGGGCTATCACAAAAACATGGTGAGCACAAAGTTCCGCTGTTCCATACCTGGGATGTGGCAGAGAAAGTGAGGTTATTCAGTAAGCTGATCAGTATGTCTCCCCTGCTCTGCCAGGTCAGAGAGAGGGGTTTCCCACTTGCCTAACAAAGCAGAGAAACATTCTTCTTAAGGATCTCTGTACATTCCATTTGCTGGGAAATAACTCTGAAGCTATTTCCATGGTGAAAAATTCAAGGGATACAGAGGGCCTGCATTATTAGCAGGAGGGTAGAGGAGATATGCAGATCAAAACAAGTGACCCCTTTATACTAATGCAGTGTGTAAATTAAACCTCTCATAGGAGAGAACTTACATAAAACATGTTAAGCCAGTAAAGACTTGAACCATTCTGAGAATAAAAATGTGGGGACTAGTCTGTAATCTCATTCCTAAAAGCATTTATTCATATAACACATCAGTAGGAAGCAAATTTTAAGTTGCAAGTCCAACTTTAATTTTGACATATGCTAATTTGGGTGCTTATCTGCACAACCTTATTTTTTTTTCTTTTATGGAGGCTTCTCATAGGGATCTTCCTAAATTCCTGAAAACAACCCCCCCCCAACCCTAAACTAGAAGCAGCAGGTATCTGCTGCAGAACTTCAAATCAACTGACTTACCAGGAACTTGCCGCCAACACTTGGAAATTCAGTCATCTAGATTAGTTGGCTGCATATCCACAAAGTCACCCCCACCCAGAACTTTAAAAGGTCCACAAGAGAAGGCCCCTCACAGCTTTAGGAGCTCCTCAGCTGAGAATGTACACTACAGGAGTAACTTTCCCTGCCCCACCCCAACCTCAGCTCTTTACTCCTTTTCTGCAGCCAATCCACATACCACTGCTCATTTTGACTACAGACCCAACCTACCCAGATGAATGCACATTAACAAAGCTTTCCTCAGCTACACACATCACAAGCTTGGCAAAAAAGCCTGTTCAAAATGTACCCCACATGACCAAACTGGTTTCTCAAAGGCTTAATTCAATCAAATAAAAAAAAGTCACTGAGCACTATATAAAGTACTCTTTTATGAGGTGGCCATATCCATTCAACATTTAACCTTGCTACTTACAGTCATAGTCTATGTAGCTGTTATAAAATGGGCAAAAAACTTTTGTAGCAGCAAAAGTATATTTTTCCCCTTAAGCTATGTGGAATCTGAAAAAAACAACTGAACCATTTCTGGTTGCATTTTCCAAAATAAGCTCTTTCAGAGCACAGGCTGATCCTGGAACATTTCCATCCTAAAAGTCTGAGAATCATTCATACTTTTAACTATGTAGTTAGAAAGCCAACCTTGATGCAGCCTGAACTATTAGACCAGTTGCTGCTTGCCTTATAAATAACTATATCTTACCGAGCTAGGAAACACCATGAATCCATAGCCAGCAGGGAGGTGATCATACTAGAACCAAGGACAGCATCAAGCAGAGCATACTCCTAAGGAAAGAATAGAGGGACACTTAATTAGAAACAGGCTGCAGTTTTAGTCTTTACTTTTAGTCTGCTAACTAGTGTGGCAGATGAACTGAAATCTGTTTATCCACGTAAAATACTAGGAACAATCATTTAATGGCTTATGTTAGAAAGATAAGCAGGCAGTAATAGATGCATTTTGGTACAGGCCCCTAACGGTTGATCATGCATATAAGCTGACTACAGCTGGGTGAAAAAGTTATAATTTCAAAAAAACTTTAGTGAAAACAGGGTCAACACACTTGTATCTTTTAAACCAAAAGGAACACATTTTTTCATGAAAACATAGTTCCTTTTTTAGGCCAACAAACTTTCTCAAGATGCAACAGAATCCTAGCTTAGTCCTGAGGACAAGAAAACTCCTGCTAAACCTCATGAAGGCTGAATTAGAGTGAGCCATTGAAGGGTGAGACAAAACACAGAATTAGGACTGAAAGGATCTGTTTTGTTTACAGAACATTATACATACACAAAATCAGAGACCCCTGGACTACTTAATATCTCATGTTATCTAGTCCATTTCAGTTCTTTCATCTATGCATACTGTGTCAAACGTAACAATCAAGCCACTATATAACATTAAGCCTCAAATTACACATTTAAAAGGTAGATAAATACTACTTTCTATTTTATAGCATGGGTTTGAAGAAGTGTATAGTTATACAGAAGAAGATTGTTCTGATTGTTAAATAAGACTTACTCATTTAGCTATGCTGTGTACCAATAAGAAACTTAGCACACTTGGAAACTGCTTTAAAAAGAAAGTACTGGAATGCTTTTAAAGCAGCATACTTTTCCCTCTGGCTTGTGATTCTGCAAACAAGTTAACACATCTGAGGTCTCTCATCACCTGCATCAAGTTATTTTTGGCAAAGAGCATTTGCTGCACACTTGAAAGCAGCTTGCCTTCCATCTGCCAAATTAAGACAAGCCCAGACACACCAACTTCATTCAGGGTGTATAAGGAGGGGGACATCATTTTTAAAATACCAATTACTATCTAGTGGAACCAGCTGGTTTGGCAATGATCACATTATCAAACAGCCTTACCAGTTGAGGGAAGTGTGAAGGCAACACAGCTGCAATGAAGGCACACAGATGGACACAAACGTGGTGATACAAGGTGACAGGAACCTCAGGTTGCCCTGTACTTAACACTCCAGGCAAACAGACAGGAAGAGCGAGCTCACCAGAACACTGCTGGAAACTAAGGAAAAGGGCTGAGAACAATGACAACCTGCATAAAAATGAAAGGCAAGAGTTACTGCTGTCCAAACTCTACTCCCCCAAAAAACAGACAGCCCAACGAGTGAAGGGATTTCTGCTCAGTCATGCTGGGGACTTTATCAAGAATGTCAATTTTTTTTTAATTTTATTTTTCTTTACCAAAACAGATTTACAATCCTGATTAACTTCCTGTTTACAAGGGCAGGTGATTACCAGAGGCATTTGGGGAACAGATATAAATATGCTGCCTTATAAGAACATCAACAAATTATGGAGACTGAAATAATTTATCCTGAAGTGATCTCAATATCCTGGAAAGAGACCAAAAGGACATCCTTTCCTCAACCAGCCAACACATCTCTGCTTCATATTGCATGGTATGCCTGAGGCACCATGCAGGACCCCCTTCAAGCACACCAGCTCTCAGGGCCTGCCAGTTCATTAGCTTGAGGGACATGCCAGCACCTAAACCTCCATGTTTACCTATTCAGTTTGACTTCTGTAAGCCAGAATTACCTTGGAATCTCTTCTGCAGACTGGCTTCCTGAGCTCCACAGAGTTCGCACCTCTTCAGGCTGAGTGGCCAGCTTGTCCATTATGCTAACCAGAAGATGACACTGAGGCAGCTGCAGTTCAGGAGAAAGATCTACAAGGATACATATATTTTTAAAGTTGCCCTTTTAAAAAAAATTTTGATGGAAATAAAACTAACTTTTGGACAAGTGTTAAACACCAAAAGGTTAAGAGAAAACAACATAAAGGCTGCAAAGTCGCTTTATAGTCAGGGATGAAAACAAAATGGCAAAGGAGCTTCCCGTGGAAAACTTCATAGTGTTTGGTGAAAAAAAATAAAAATCAAAACCCTTATTTCAGACAAAAAAATATTTTGATTCTGAGATACAGGTGTAAGACCCAAGAGCTGTCATTCTGGTGCTTCAGACTCCCATTCTCCCTATGGCCCTCACTCCCTAGGTGCATAACATCTTCTGTTATGCCCCATTCCTCCTTCTCTTGGTGAGTGCTCTGTGGTAGTCATTTGGCCCTGGTGCACACCAGAGAAGATGAAGATAGCAAAGGGAACCCAATTTAAAGGAAAAGGAAGCCACAAGACACCCAGCCCATAACTCCCAGGAGGACAGCAGCTGTTTTTCAAAATAAAGATATTTGGGGATGACATAATTAGGTCTTTGGCAGAAACTGAAAATGCTTAAGCTTGTTGGTATTCTATTTTTTTAATTGAAAATACTTTTTTTTCCAAACAATATCTATTTTGCCAAAACCTAGTTATCTGTAAACAGAACAGAAACCAACCTCCTGGGAAAAATTTTTTTCAAAGAGCCCTCACTGTAGATTTGTCACAGATGCGTAGTGAAAAATTATAGAAAGATTCATTAAAGAGGAGACTCATTTAATAACATAATTCAGTGTGTTAATGTAATATTCCCAAGGTGCTCAAAGTAACTAAAAATGGCAATAACAAGGAATGTTCACCCCTGCTGGCACTGCAATTTAGTACCTGACAGCATTATTCAGGATCCATTACTAGAGCTGCTATACAAATTCAGACACCAGCAAACAAATGCAAAAGTGTTATGTAGTTCTTGGAGGGGTTTAGGTTGTAGCCGTGTTGGTCTAAGGACATAGGCAGACAAGGTTCCTTGGGTGAATTTGATATCTTTTATTAGACCAACCCAAATTTCATAGATTTCATAGACATTAGGGCTGGAAGGGACCTCGGAAGATCATCGAGTCCAGCCCCCCGCCCAAAGGGCAGGAAGTCAGCTGGGGTCATAGGATCCCAGCAAGATGAGCATCCAGTTTCATCTTGAAGGTGTTCAATGAAGGCGCTTGAACAACCTCCGGTGGCAGGCTGTTCCAGACCTTGGGGGCTCAGACAGTAAAGAATTTCTTCCTTATGTCCAGCCTGAAACGATCTTGTCGTAGTTTGTGACCATTCGACCTCATCATCCCTTGGGGCGCTCTGGTGAACAAACGTTCCCCCAGATACTGGTGGTCACCCCTGATAAACTTGTAGGTGGCCATCAGATCACCCCTGAGCCTGCGCTTTTCCAGGCTAAAGAGCCCCAGGACTCTCAGCCTGTCATCGTAGGGTCTGCTTCCCTGACCTCTGATCATGCGCGTGGCTCTTCTCTGGACTCTCTCAAGCTTCTCCACATCCTTTTTGAATTGTGGGGCCCAAAACTGGACGCAGTACTCTAGCTGCAGCCTCACTAAGGCCGAGTACAGGGGGAGAATGACGTCCCGGGATTTGCTTGAGAAGCATCTATGGTTGGAGATAGTTGGAGAATATTTATTAAGCAAGCTTTCAGGTTCAAAAACCCTTTGTCAGGCTAAGGAAGTTTCAGCAGTTGGTGTGTGCTCTTCCTGGATGGAATAAAAAGTAAAGAAGCCAGGGGCTGGGGAGTCAGTTGCCAGGCAGATTATAATGTATCAAAAATCCAATGTCTATGTTTAGTCCATGATCTCTAGTATCCAGGAAGTTGATGAAATGGAGCTCATAGGCTCGTCTCTGGGAAGTGTTGTGTAAATTTCCCTTGAGGATCAGGACTGAGCAACTGGAGAGAGAGTGGCCCTCCTGTGAGAAATGTGCCCCCACCAGTAATTGGGTATTTCTGTCTTTGATGGATTTCTGATGTGCGTTCATTCTGGTGCGCAGTTGTTGTTTGGTCTCTCCTACATATTTTCCATCAGGGCATTTGGTGCATTGGATGAGGTATATTACATTTCTGGAGGTGCAGCTGTAAGATCTTGGAGCATAGGAAGCAAGAAGACTTGGGTGCCAAAGAGATGACACAGGAGTATTGTATCACAGACAGTAATACTTTTAAACTCACCTAATTTTTCACTTAACACCTGTTCCAAGAAAGCCCTTGAAGAAAGAAGCTGGTAGATGAGAGGATCCAGAGCTACTAGAAAAACCCTGGCTATTTCATCTCGATGGGCCTCTGATATCACTGGAGCATACAGACTGGGAGGAAACTTGCTGAAAGGGAAAAAAAACACAAAACAAACAACAGAACTCATTATTACTGCATTTTAAAGGATTAGGAAGAGGCAAAACATGAGTTCTTATTACTGTGGAGTAAAAAATTTTTACTGTGGAGTAAAAAAAAAAAAATCCATCAGTACAAGCAACGAGATGCAGCAGCTTTATTACTCTTTTAAAATGGTAAGCCTATCACTGTTCTCTGCCTTTAAACCAAGTTTTACTGGCTCATCATTTATTGAGCACAGTAAGAAAAATATACCAATTTACAGAAGGAGCATATTGGATATAGATTAGATGAAAAGTAGGTGCAAAATAGCAAGGCAGGGAAACCTTCAAAGGGAAATACTTGTAGGTGCAGCTGAAGAGTCTATCTGGAGCCCCAGCATATGGGACTGCAGATTACTGACAATGGGCTAACCTCTTGCACTGCAGAAAAAGAAAACAGGAAGACTAAATAGAGAAATAAAAGTTAGAGAGATTGAGATAAAGAAAAAGGAAAACAGTGCGAGAGTAAAGACAAAAACAGCAGGAGAGGGGAGCAAGCAGAAACCCCACTAGTCTCTGACAGGCCGACTAGGACACAGACAGATGTAACAACTGTATTGATCAAGGGATACTGATACAAACTGTTACCATGCACTTGTAATTTCGTTGTAGTGATACAAGTGTGGCAAAAGTGCTCTGACTTTACTTCTGTTTCATTCAGGGTGAAACTAAAGGCAATTTAGCTAACCTGTTTCTACAGTTTTCTCATTCCTGTAAACCCAGCAGAGCCAGTACAACCAGGAGAGGAAATATCAACAAAACAATATAGAAAATGATCTTGCAATAAGTTGTACACTGGAGTTCATCTGCACACATCTCAGTGCAGAACTAAGAACTACATTCCAAATGTGGAACCAAAATCAGTGTTGATTATATATTGATACACACCTATTTCATTCATGACCGGGGCAAAATGGATTGGTATCGTATTTAAAGAAAAATTACAAGTAACTTGTCTGTGACACTGCACATCGCATGTATATAACAGCAACAAAGTGTGATTCAACAAGGACTAACCAGTAGGGCTGTGCGAAGCTGTGGGTGCTGATTCAATTCTGAGGAGATCCAGCCCGATTCGGCGACTGAATCTCCTAATCCGAATTGAATCAGGAGACCAATAAAAAAGGTCCAAATTGATTCAAAGCCTCCAAATCAATTCGGAAAAAGATTCGGAGGAGATTCAGATATTTGGGCAGTTACCGCTAACCGCTGCAGGGAGCTGGACGAGGACTCCATGCCGGTAAGTGGGGGGGCGGGGGGCCTGGAGGAGGGGGAAGGAGCCCATGGGG